GCTCCTGCCACAGCATGCAGTCTGGGGGAGGTATGAGGGGCATGTGCCCCCTGGATTTTGGCATGGGGTGAGGGTGGGCTGCATGCTTGTGGCTGGAGGTGGCGCCAGCCTTTTCCTGGCGGGGGGCTGGCCTCGGGCTATGCTCTGGGTGAGTGGGGCCGGGGTGGGTGGTGGTGGCAGCTTGGGGGTGGGGGGGAAGAGAGCTATGGGATGGGCTACAGCCACCCCAATATATGCTGTAGCCCTTGCTGTAGGTTCCTTCCCAGCGCCACCACTGCTTGGGCCCAGCCCCTGCCAGGAACAACTGGGTGCAGCCTCTGACCTCGAGCACCCAGTGTCAGCCTGTCCTCGCCCCACACACAGGTCTGGGGGCATGTGCCCCCCTGCCTCCTCTGGGCTTGCGTGCTGTGGCAGGAGCACCGCCCCCCTTCCAGCCCCCTCTGCCCCCTGGACAAGCCGCAGCTCTGTCCTGTGCCCCACTCCTCCCCACCCTGGCTGTGCAGCCCCTGCCCCAGTTCCAGCCCCACACCTTCTCTCACCTTGGGAGCCTCGATCTGCACCCCCCACAGACTTATTGGCTGGATGCTGCTCTCCAAGCTGCCTGGCTGCACTCCTGACCATGTGCATGCTGCAGCTGTGCGCCTGCACGCAGCATTTATTGGTGACATTATCAGCCATATCAGCCAAAATAACCCAATTGCCGATAATGTCAGTGTTGCTTGCATCAGTGCCAATACAGTGTGGACCAATGTATTGGTGCACTTCTACTTCAAACTGCCTCAGAATGATAAACTAAGGTCTCTCAACAAGTTGCAATGGGCAGATCCTCCTCCTCACCCAATTAGGGGAAAACTTCCATAGTCCTGAAACCTGCTGGTTGGGGAGGTTGTCTGGTTTCTTTTCAAGCAGAGTGCCACAGATGCTTGCTGTCATTTCATTAAAATCCTGAATATGATCTCATTTAAGATGCTGCAGAATTATAGATTTGATAAATGTCTTTTTGTTTTTTATAGGCATTTCACCTTTTGAATGTGCAGATAACTGTGGTGATAATAATCACCTTAGAGCAGGTCTGCCCAGCTTCCAGGTGGCTGGGGGTTGCACACCCCTCAGGCCACGCCAGTAGGGGCCATGGGTGTCAGGGGCTAGATGTCCCTATGTGCCTGTCTTGCTGCCCTATGTGCTCCCCTGCTGCTGTTGCCCATGCCTCCTTCTGTAGTATGTCCCCCTCCCCCCCCCACTTTCCCCCATCACTGCTTCTTTTGTGCCTCCCCACTGCCTGTGTACCTAGGAACCCTGCCTTGCCCTTAGCTTCCCAGGTGCGAGCATCCTCCCTGCACTGGAGGCTTTGTCAGTAGGGGCAGGAAAGGGGGAAGCTGGAGGGAGGGGGAGCCTGAGCAGCTAGAGCAATGGGGGAAGCAGCACCTGGGAGGTGGGGAGCAGAATTTAACCCCTCACAGGCCTCATGCAGCCCATGGGCTGCCAGTTGGACAGATCTGTGCAATAGAAAAATGTGCACTAATAATTCTGCCAGTAAGAAAGAAGCCTGGTTCTTATTGCAAGATTTCCAAAAACTGTGCATGTTGCTCCTTGGTCTCCCCTACTGGTTCTGGTTAAAAATGCAATTTCCTTTGGATATTGCTCATCACCAGACATGGAGGCCAGGCAGCCTTATGAGATATGGTGCAGGTTGGTGTAAGAGGTTGTCAAATGATGGGGAAAAGAGGTTTTTCTATAATGAACCATTTCCAAGTTCTAGATTATAAGAAGAATGTTTCTTGACAATAATTCTTCCCTTCTAAAATGATCAGTTTGGTGGGGAGGGGGTTGTTTTGGTTAAATTGCAGACATAGTTTGCTATTTATGCAAAATAGTGTTGCCTACCTGTCCTACAAATTTCCATTAAATTATTTTATGTTGGGAGTATACCTGGGTTTATATCTCTTGCACCTGGAATTATTTTAAAGTAGAATATTTTAAGCAATCAAATTCACATAGCAAATCCCAGGCGATATTAATTCTGCTAATCTAAAATTATCACTAATTCTGTCTACATGTG